AAGGGGGAAAAAAACTGACTAGACTATTTTCTGCTGCTTACCTCATGTGCCAGTGTGGCTTTGTGCTCACCCGCTGCCACGTGCAAGTCCAAATTACAGCCTGCAGGCAGATGTGAAGGGGAGGTGCCAAGCAGCATTTACAGTCCAAGGCCTTATCCCTGCCTAACCCCCACCTCCATGTGCACACACATGCACACCCTTAGCTATGCACAGTGATCTGGGAGAGCTCTGGGATTTTGGGTACCATACTCACTGCTTCTTCAGTCTTTGATGGGGACCTTGTTGCTTCATCATTTTTGACTTCCATTTATAAGCCAGTTGCTGCTCAGGCTGCCTATAGGGTCCTAATGATAAAGTAATTCCAGGCTATAAATAATTTTTGCTACTCTGGTCGTCTTCGCCTACAGATGTTTTTGCCATAAAAATTTTCTCACTTTAAGACTTTAAATTAAATGCAGTTGTAGGTGTGGCTTGTTTCTTCTGAACCCTATTCATATTGTGATTAGTGATGGCTATTCATAAATCCTTCGATAGTGTGTGTTCTGGAGAAAGACCTCCCCCCTCTTTTGACATCACTGGGCCTCATGGGGCAGCCCACCCCCTCCAAACTCCTGCTCTCTAGGGGCGCAATAATTGCATGATGGCTTGCTCATTGTCAGGATCAGGTCAGGCACTAGGAGTGTTTTCACAAAGCAGACATCTGCTGTGCTATCCTTTTTTTGCAGTGACGCAATGCAAGTCTCGGCCACACAAACTGGTGTTCTGGCATAGAGGTGGAACAGAGGTTGGCTTGTGACCAAGAATTGTATGGGCGTGGATTAAATGAGGGTTTAGCTTGAATAAACAGAGAATGCAATTCAGTTGTACAACTGGTAACAAATGTTGAAATGAGATGACTTATTTATTTACACTTTTTAACCTTTATCGCCTAATTTTATAGTCCATTACTTTATGCAGCATTTGGTCATTAATAAAAAAAAATATAATGGATTAAGCACATATTTTATTTCTGTAATGGAGAAATTCAGGTGCAATGGCAGCATTGAAACATAGATTCACAGAAAAATAAAATGCATTTTATTATAAACTTGGTCGGAGTGATGAGCCTTGAACTTTTCATTTGCAGCAACAGAAATTTGAGGTTGGACTCTATCAGACTTGTAAAGTTTTTTTTTTTTTTTTTTTTTAACTCAAATGTGGGTGTGTTGGGAAGTAATAATGGCTGCTTAGAGGCCATTTTCAAAAGTCACATATGAATACATATTTAATTTATTTAATGTTGATATTTTGAGAGATTTTAGTTAGTTTTTTTTCTGCCCAAAATATAAATTTTGCTGTTCTGCTGTATGAAGTTGCAGAACTTTGATGATCAAATATTTGCTGGTTTTTAAGTCTGGCTGTCTGCTTGCACCATCACTGTTTAGCAACAAGTTTGGGAGAAGTTGCTGCCTTTTTTTTTTTTTTTTGTCCTTATGCAGCTGGAGCAACTCTATTTTCTTGTGCCTTATGAAGTTTTTTTTTTCCCATAGACGGAAAGTTTTAACTTTTGAAACTGCAAGTTATGACAACAAAAGCTTGGTACAAAGTACTGTGCTGTTTTAGAGAGACTCTTGTATACCTAAAATACTGCAAACAAGGCTTGTACTCTTTAGATTCTCAAAAAAAAAAAAATGGTTTAGCTTCATTTTTAGAAATGAAGATCACACAGCCAAACAACTCAAAGCAGCTTCAGTGTCATTTCAGGCCTTTTGTCATAGTCAACTATGTTTTTGAGGAGGTGTAAATTTTGCTTTTTCACTGTTAAAGTGGATTCAAGGCCACATCAATGTTGCAATGACTGTTTTTGACTTCTATTGTTAGAACAATCTTCTTGGATTTTTGCAAAGGTAACAGACATTTCTTAGTACAGAATGACAGCTATAGGCAGCCCTGCAAACATCCTCTATGCCTGTTTTATCAGAATAATCTAGTCACCTGGAATGTAAGACTTTTAGTAGTAGAATTGAGTTTTATCTGACTCAAAATAATGTGTGACGGTGCAGAACCCTTAGTTTAATTAGCCAGCTTGTGCTCTAACTTGGTATTGAGGTCTAGATTGCATTCATCAGACTGTTCATCTCTGGCACACTTTCTGGCAATGTTTCCAAGCCCAATCAACCACTGCAAATCAAGGTTCATTGTTAGTTCAGCATGTAATTATATGCTAGAAGTTCTGGCCTCAGCAGCATAGACTGAAAACGTTTGCCAATTTATTCCAACCTTGCTAATTTGTTTACATTAATCTATTCTATTTTGAGTGTCATGCATATTTGAAATTTGGATTGTTCATGACCCGTTTGCTGTGTTTTTGAGCCTACTGAGTAGGTTCAGGCTCCAAAATCAGAAGCTTATATTTTTTATGCCTTTTACAACTGCATGGATCAACACACAACATGCTATGACAATTTATTTTTGAGATTGATCAGTAGTGTTGCATGAAAATCCCTTGGTGTTTGTACATGTCAGAAATTCCTTCCTGCTTTCATGTCTTGCAGATCTTGTGCTTTATAAATATTTGATTAATGATGATGATAAGACCTAGGGGATTACAAGTTCTCCAACCCTCGAGCCAAGCAAACAAAATTGGACACCTGGAATTTTTTTTTTTTAAGCATTCCTTCAAAATTAACCCATGTGTTAGCCGACAGTTACTGTGATAATTGTTTCTCAACAGATTTTTTTTAATTGTGCGCTACCCATTTTTAGGACATGAAAAAGTAATTGTGATGTCGAACAATATAGTTTTAGGTAAAGCTTTTTTGCGCTGTGATTATGCCCCAGGATCCTGTCAATTAAAACTACAAACTGAATCTGTAACCGAGAGCATTCCTATCACAGACTACACCACACCAGGAAGCAGTTTGACTTTGTGCCAAAAATGTGAATGCAACCCTTTTTGTAATGCATAAACTGGACACCCATAAAAGGTGATAATGCCCTGTATTCCCATAAAACTCCACCCAAACATGGATCTGAATTTAGCCTTCTCCAGATCTACAAAACATGTTGCTAGGACAATCGAGGTCAGTGTCTCATCTTTATTTTGTTTGCGGACATTCTAGATTGATTTAATCTTCTAGACAACACCTTAGATGTTCCCTTGAGTAGTTTTGCACTGGGGTGCGACTCAGTATTAGAGTTGGCTTTTAAATGAGATTGTGGTTCTCGACACGAACATAACATTCTTCCTATGGGTTTCTGCTTCCAGTAAGTGGTGTCTTTAGTATGTGATGGTAGAATGGTGTTTGAGATTAGTAGACCATTGCTGTCTGTTGTGGTGACAGACCTTTGTTGGAACATACATGGACCACCAAATGGAAAGAATCACATTTCAACACTCACCTGTTCAATATAGAATATGACTGAAAGATCAAGATTCTGGATGCAAAGGGCTTAAATGAGTTTTGTGTTTTGAATAAGGCAATTTGAAGGAAGTGATGTGAGGAATTTAATGGTCCTAAGGAGCTGAAGTGGCTGAATGATGTTGCTAAAGCATGGACAAATGTTTCTCTTTTAGAGTAACAGTTGATGCATCTTAACATTCTGAGAAGTATAGCCAACATGTTTGGGAAAAAGTGACTCTTACAATTTATCAGGATTTGTATAAAAATGTAACTTGTTTCATGATGCAAGGCGTTTGAAACTGAAAGTGCCAAAGATTTGTTTTGTCCCTTGAGTCAATGTTTAGTGTGGGGGCCATGTATCTCAGATGGTGGTGCAGAGGATTTTAAAATTCAAATTGGGACTTACCGTGCAATGTAATCTGAAATTCTAGGTCATATAACTAGGACTGGCCTTTCCAGAGCCAGGATCTGAAAAGTACTACGATATCATTATGTTAGAAAGTTCAGCTAAAGGTAGCCAACGGTAAAGATGCCTAGTTTTGCCAATCAAGAAGATATGAAATGATCCTAAACAATGCGATCAAGGAATTGCACAAACCGATGTTCGGTTTAAGTTAAAAGGCCATGTAAACCATTAAATATTGTCAAAATTGTACAAACTTTTTCACCTTGTCATGTCTGGTTTTATTTTAAAGCTAGCAAATTATAAAACCCACTACATTTAAGGCAGCTCTTCTGGTAATGTTTAAAATAATTAGTAGAATCTTGAACTGCTGTATAATCTATAATCATTAGTGATGCATGTTAGTAGGTCTGTTAAGTGTCAGATTTACAGACATGATTTACAAAAGACAAACTGATCATTATGATGCGGTTCACATATTATTCACACCCTCCTCTTCATTTCTCATAAGGTATTGTTCACATGAAGGGAACAAATGAAATGATGATGTATTCAGTGGGAGTGTTACTGTTTTAATGAGTCCCTCTTTCCCATTGTATAAGTGTCCTGGAATGTGCAACAATAAGCTTTGTTGTATTAAATACCCCCCACACCCCCATTGCATCATTTTTCTTATCCATCAAGGTTCGTTTCCACCGTCATTTAGTAATTACATTATGCAAGCATCTGCTTGGGTATGAGCAAAGAAAGGAGGGGGGAGGGAACAGGGGCAAAAGTGTGGACAAACTCTGGTAAAAAGCGTACAGTTCTACTGTTATGATGAATGAGGCCTTGTCAAAACTTCTTGCATTGCCCATCCCTAGATGATCCTTGTTCAAATAGCTGACTTGTTGTACTTTGGTAGTCATGTTTCAGAACAGCAGCAGGAAATGGACAACTGTGCTTCCAAATCCCAAATATGAACCAGGCAGTGTCGCTAAATAAAGCTGCAAACCGCTCCAGTGTAGCGGATGCCTTGCAGATGCAACCTAATTTCCGATGAACCCACATGCTTTTGATTAGAGCAGACGCCATGTGGCTTGGTGCAAAAGCCTTCCATTACTCTGAACTTATTTTTATAGTGCTGCTTCTAAATTTCCCTCTAAATTGGCAAATTTACTGTCTAGATGAAAAGTTAAAATATGGAGATTTACAGATTTTTCTCTCTCTTTCAGCTATGCTTTGGCAGATGAGGCCTACCGCTCACTGAGGGACCAGGACAAGGATCAGTGTATACTCATCACTGGGGAGAGTGGAGCTGGGAAAACTGGTGAGAACAGTCATTTTTTTGTATACCCCTATTTTTTTTTTTATGTAAAGGTAAATGCTCTTAAAGTAGAACATTTGTGATTCTCATCAAGAAAAATGGAAACAACTTACTTGGGCTAAGGAGGAAAAATGGACTGCTGCTCTAAATGAACCATTTCAGTAGGACCTGGAGAAGAACAACATTCAGGTTTCTTGAGGTCTGAATTGGCCTGACTTGATCCCTACAGAGAATCTATGGTGTTCTCAAGATGATGAGAAACACCAGAAACGAGCTGTAGGTCTCACATATATATGTATGTGTATTTTTTTTTTTAATCTAGTGTTGGTCAGTCGTAAATTTTAACATGCATGACTCACGTTTTTATCCTACGAAAATAAATGTCTGATATTCTAATTTTAAATGCACCTCTATAAGAAAAGCTAATGGAACATGAAACTAAGAAATAAAAAAAACATAAAATCTTATTTCCAAAGACCTTCTTAGTAGAATTATCTTCATCTGCAGTGCAAGAAACCATCGGTTAACTGAATTTCTGTAAAGTACAGAGAGCAGACTGTAGACAAAAAAAATGTTAAATCTCTGGCTTTTACAGGCAAAACTGGAAGGAACCGGTTATTGCTAGCTGTTTCACAAGTGTGCCCACCTACTTATTAACACCCACAGCATTTCCACAGCAACCTGTACGTCTGGACACAAATTTGATCCAACTGCTCTGAAATGACAATGCAGTCTGTGCTTAAGATTGAGCTGAAACAGAAATCAGATTTCTGCTGCTGTCTGAGTGTAGCTTTAGGCTCCAGCATCCATCATCACTATGCTTTTTAGAATCGGTAGGTATGCTCATACCAGGAAGCTGCCGGGAAAAAATGTTGCCTTATTGTTGCTGATAACGGTAACGCATCTGTTTTGGACGTTTGATAGACCGCTCTTCCTCCCTTATCTGTGCTTGGGGTGTGGGAGGGGAACGCCTAATCATAAATGGTATCTTTACAAAAGTTGTTTGTGCTGTGGTTGCTTTCTAAAGAATATAGTCTCTGTACTTCTTTGTTCAGAGTGTAGTCAAAATAATTTTTTGGAATACTGAAACATGTGGGTTGTTTTTATATAAAAAGTCCCATAGCAGATTTGAATGAGGGTTTTGTTTATCATGTTTGCACATGAAACATGATGATTCTGACTTTAAAGAGTGCATGTGGAATAATAAAGGTGGAGGAGTCAAAGACCAGCATCCTCTGTACTAATGTTGTCAAGCTACTTGGGTTTATACGAAGACACAACATTAAGATTACACTAACGGCTTTACTCTGACAGAAAACCTACACCTCCAATGGGCATTGATCCATAAATGGAGCCTCTTCAGATAAAAGCTTTTAACTCCAGATCATTTGTATTTCTTTTTTTGCGTGCAAAGCTTCTTTTTGTTGCACTTTCATAAAAGAATGGCATTTCCCGGTTGCTGAGTTTTGCTGCCTTGCAGGTAATTGGAATATCCAGTAGGCTGGGCACAGATGGTGGGAATGCAGATGGAATCCACTCATTGCAGTTCACAGTTATTTTGCCCCGCTGGTAAAGATGGCGCAAAAAGCAAATAAATCCATCTTCTGTTGCAGTAACCAACTTTTACTGAAAAAGCCAACCTTTTACTTTTTGTACATCTGAACATCAAAGAAAAGAAAATCACTTCATCAATAGTTTCTAAGTTGGTTGAAACATTTTAAAAACCTTTTTTCTAAAGTGTTTCTGAAATTTTCACAGATTATGCTACTACACAAGATGCATTTGAGAGGCTTTTGCACATGTTTACATATTTATATTATATTTATCATATTTATATTTACATAATATGGTGCTTGGATTTTACAACAAAAACCTCTCTGCTGCTCAGGGAGCATAAGGTATATATTTGTTGCAACAAAAATATTTACACTACAAATAAATCATTGCAATATGTTTGAAGTGCAATGATGCAACAATTGCAGAAGCCTAAATGAAGACAGTATAAAGTCCAGTTTGATCGCTCATGTTTTTATTTATTTTTTCCCCCAAAAAAACTTCCTTTAAAGTCTCTTTCTCATGTTTATTAAACTCTGCTCCAAGGAGTCATCGCTGCAGTCAAGTCTGAGATAAATTTGGATTTCCGTCGTCTCGGCTGCCCTGGGGCTTTAAAGTAATAAGGCCATTAAAAGCTACAGAATCGATATGGGCCATTTTCATTCATGTCTGTAAGGTTCCATTTCTCCCCCTCAACTTTCTTTTATATAGTTTATGTAAAATCAAGCAGCTGTGACCAATATTATGAGAGCTCTATTTTTTTTTTTATAGAAACGCATTAAAGCCTTATTTTATGCAAGAAAAGCTCAGTTTATTTCATAGCCATGAAAGTACATACTATTTATAAGAAACTTCTCTTTGCTGCAAGGTTTTTCAACTCTTGCATTATATTTTTATCTTTCTCAATCTTAAATAAGTGAGCCTTTAGCTTTTACCATCAACAGCTCAGAGCACAGAACTCTTTTTGGCAGGTCACACATCAGTTTTGGGTCACTGTCAATCTCACTAGTAGCTCAGAAATGATACTTGTGCCAACTCTCCAATCATGAGGCATGTTTCCTACTGAGCCTCTGCTGCAGACAGACAGTTAATTTTTGGAGAGTCCCTCCGTTGGAACGCCTATTCCCAAACCAATTTCAATCACTGGGAACAGTGGATGAACAGTGATCATCGCACCCAGATAGGTTTTCTAGGGGTTTTCTTTGCTTCCCAATGAAGTATGTCCCATAATTTCATCACAAAATCATCAAACCACAGAGTCCAACTCAACAAAGGGAGCTTCTTAAATGGGGTCTCCGCCTTTGACTCTCATGGGTGCCGAGGGGTGATGTAATGGGGATTTTCTTATTTTTTTATTTTTTATGGAGAACACTGCAATGAGCCGGCGTGGTGCACTTGCTCTTCTGTCATGTCTGAGAGGCTTTGACCTAATGCTTCTAATATCTGTGTGTGTGTTTCAGAGGCCAGTAAGCTGGTGATGTCATATGTGGCAGCAGTGTGTGGGAAGGGCCAGGAGGTGAACAAGGTCAAGGAACAGCTGCTGCAGTCCAATCCTGTGCTGGAGGGTGAGTGACGGTGGCTCGAGCTGCATCCCAGTTTGGAGGCTCGGCTCTCTGATGTTTGCATATTGATGAAATAGACAATCTGCTCCAGTTCAAGAGATGTTTGATAGAAAGCATCCAAAATTTGGTGAAGAAATGTATATTTAATTCTGAAAAGTTGCTGTAGAATTTAAACTCCTTGATCCGAGTTGAATACTTAGGCTAGGCTTAAACGTTCAAGAACATTGTACATTACCATGATAAAACCATTTCTACTGTTAAATATGGCAGTGGCAGCATCATGTTGGAGGGGATCGGCATTTTCATGTGTTGGAATTACACATTTTGAAGTCCAGAAATGAACTGAATTAAAACTTTGAACAGTTTTGAAAAGCAAGGAACACACCTTTCAGGTCAGATGTTTAAAGCTTGAGGGATTGTTTTATGGCCCAACTCTACTTCAACTCCGAGTACTGTTCAATCCATTTTGGAGGGGGGGGAAATGAAAGTGTATGGCACAATGACAAACCTACAAGGAGATGCATCAATCATAAGCAGTCCCACTATGTACATTAAGGTATCTGGTCACAACCTGATGGAATATGAGGGAGTTCAATGTGTGTAAACCTTTGCTGTTTTCATATGTTGACTTTTGTGCACGGGTGGTTAAGAAAAAATGATTCATAGCCCCTACACTGTCTTTTGTGCATCCCAGTGCTGGCAGAGAATTGCCTTTTTTTCTTTTTTTAATTGGGGGGGCAGTGGACAGGAAGTGCCCATGAAAAATGAAGCTGTAAGGTTGACTTGCAGTGGAAAACCCTGCACATCTGCAAGAGTTTAGCTCCTGCCGATCTAATTGCCCCAACACAGAGACGCACAAAAGAGGAAAAAGGAGGGAACTGTTTATGCAGCCAAACACAGCAGATTTATCATGCTTGCTCTCTGTGATGCTCTGCTTCACTTTCGTTATTGCTTTCATTCTTTGTTACCCTCCATTTTTCACTTCTTGCTCTGATTTCTCTTCAGCCCTTTATCTCAGCATCTCTTATTCTGTGTGTTCCTTGCCCTCTGGCTGTCGCTGTTCCAGACAAACAACCCACACATTCACACTATTCGAATACTTAAACACACATTATTCAGCTGCTATCAGCAATTAAGCTGTTATGCTAATAGCGCTCTGCTATGTGGTACATTTAATAGCATTTAAATGTGGATATGAAATAAAGGAAATGAAAACTGCAGAGAAACGTAGTCCTTTTTAAAAATGTCCACTGGTGAACATTGTAGGTTTGTATTGTGCTCCTTGGAGAGCATCTTGTTTTTGTTTATTTGCAAGCAAGGGCACATATGGAACCACTTTGACTTGAATGTGGTGTGACATAAAGGTTTAGTCCCTCCTAAGCCTGAAAAGCGCTGGTGCTTTGCTTAATCCTCACAGAATTATGGGCCATCATCAGTGCAAATGGCTTTGACATTCAGGTATGTTATGATTGACAGGTGACCAGAGAAGGACAATGCCAAGGATCAATAATAATAAAGGCTTAAAAATATGGAACAGAACTTGGCTTAGCTGCTCTTTACATTGCAGCTTTCAGACCAATTTTAGTCAAATGTTTTTGTTTATAATTTTAACTTTTTGGGGGTTTTTCTCTCTGCAGCATTTGGAAATGCAAAAACTGTACGGAATGACAACTCTTCAAGATTTGTAAGTATCAACTTTTATTGTCTTGTAAAAGGAACAAATGTATTATGTATATATGCACATTTTGAGAAATTTGTATAAAATATGCTCACTTTGACTTCTAACTCTACATGCACCTCAATAAGTTGGAATCTCGTTAAAGTTGATTTTAGGAAGTAAAGTTGAAAGGAATGCAGAGTAGTTCAACATGACTTATTACATTCAAGTTATGTCTCTTTAATAAGATGGAAACTTGTTCCTAAATTCTTCCAAAGGTTTTGCTTTGAGTCTCAAGGCTGTGATTACCTCTTCCTTAGCACCCTTTTATTTTTTTTCTAATTTAACCACATTTTCTTTTCTTTTTTTTCCCCATCCACTCAACTTTCCACTGATGTACAGTGGACAAAGCTACTGCCACCTTCTTTAGGAAAGACCTTTTGCGATTTATGGCACAGTGTCATTATGGGTTCTTAATTTCTTGGAATATTTTATTTAGCTTGGCTGTTTGTGTGCGTTCCCGTGGTGTGTTCTGAAAGTCGGGCCATTTATGTCGATCACATTCATGACGTAATCGACATCATGAACGTGATCATGAATACACATGATACGTTCATGTGTGTTCACATGAACGTGAACACACATGAACATGTTCATGATCACGTTCATGACCATGATCTTCTCCTGCAGGAGTCCTCAGATAATCTGGAAATGTAGATCTTCTTCAGATTGCAATTAAAACTAAGATAATTCTAAACGGAACTTTATCTTAAGATTGTTTTGTTGTAAATATGGTTTAAAAGCCACCCACAAAGTGCTACTCCAAACTCTGAAATGAACTGTGCAGATCTTGACTTCAGAAAATGGAAGAAATAAAAGCTGTTGAGCTGAATTTCCTCTGGCTTCATAAATTAATCCATCCTTTATAGCCATTTACCTTTGTCCTTCTTTTGATTTGTCACTGTGTGTGTACACGTTCCCCTTAGAGATGCACGTTGGGGAGCAGTCGGGATTTAAACCACAAACTGGTAGTTTAGGCAAAGACTTTTCTATCATCACAGTGTCCTTGTACCCTTTTTTTTTTTTTTTTCTCTACCATGTAATTGGGACACATTTATTGCTTTGCACAGTAACACTGGCCCACACACAGCACTGTTTGTGCACCGAGCGCATTACATTTTTTACTTGAAACATTGTCTTGGTATTGGACTTCAGGGTGTAGAACGGCACCGTTGCAAAAATGCCATTTAACTGTGTGTGGGGTTCTTTTAGCCTTGTAAGGTACAGGATTAAATTGAAAATAGAAAAACATAAATATTTAAAAAAATGTTCATCATCCATCTCTCCATCTTCTATGCATTCAGTCCAACCTTGTGTAGATTAGTCCCTTTATTGATCGGGTTGTTCGTTCCTTCAGTGTTTACAATCATCCATCAATTAATTCAGCCAATCCTTTTGTCCGTCCAGCGCTGTCAATCTGTCTGTCCAAATATCTAGTCAACCATATAACCATATATTCCATTTGCACATATTTCCCTCCATCAGCCATCAATGTCCTTTCTTCCAACTTTCTGTCGCTCCATTTCTGCATCCCTCCAACAATAAATATTTGTTTCTGAAAGCATGGCAGCTGGAGATAACGCTGCCATAAATATATAATGAACTCTTGTGCTGGTGCTTTAAAAGTCCTGGTCAAAAATTTGACATTTGCATGTAATTCATCTCTATTTATTCAAATTTCAGTTCTTGATTTCAGTTCTTTGTACTTATTTTACCAGCTGCTCAAAATGAGCAAGTTGAGCAATAACGAGGATACATTTTTTCTACATAAATCACATCCTAGGGATAATGCAACAATGTCTCGTTTGGTCCTTCTATAAATATACCCAAATCCAGACTACACATTTCCAGGTAATTGCATTATGACAGACATGGGTGTGTTTAGTATTTTTCCACACAAGACATTCCCACACTATCTGCCTCAGATTTGTTAGAGGTGAACAACAGTTTCACTTTCCTACAAAATATCCCATCAGTTTGGCTTCTGTTCATGTTAATATTTTTAACATAACTTGTTTATTTAGCATAAAATCGCAACCTTTTATCTTAACTTTTAGCACTTCCAGTAATTTTGCCTCCTCCCTTCCTGCCACACAGATGAAGTTAGAAACTGGTTATTCCAGCAAGCCCCAGCTTGCTATTCAACATGCCATTCACACATTCTACCCCACTTTTACTTTCAATAGTGTTTGCAATTATTTACCATACGTTGTTGCCTCCAAACAAAAGTAAACAGGCATGCTGTTGTGATCACCTCAATGGATTATACGTCTGATCCTGTTATATTTAGCAGACCTTGGCTCGAGCAGAGACTTTAGGCCTCCTCACTAGTTGCCGCTTCATCAGAAGTACATTTTATGAATGAATCCCTCACTTCATTTTGCTGAGTGCAGAGAGGGCTTATTGAGTTTGGTTGAGCCTGTTTTCCAGCCGTGCCTGGTTTCATCTGCAACCGAGCTGCTATTAATACATCAGAAGAGCAAAAAAAAAAAATCCCATACAAGACTTTCTAGTCTAACCCACAATATTAAGGGAGAAGAACTTCAAAATAACCTGAGTTAACCATCCACTTGAAAGAGAATATAGCTGAACCAAAAAAAAAAAATCTTAATGTGAACTTATCAGAACTCATTTTAAGCATTTTCAAAGAAAAGAGGAATATGAACATCTGAGTAAATAAGAGCTCGCATCTAACTGTTCCACTCTGACCCTCAGGGAAAATACATGGACATAGAGTTTGACTTCAAAGGAGATCCGCTGGGTGGAGTCATCAGCAACTGTGAGTACAAATGGAGAAAACTGATTTAAATCAAAGTAGAGGTTAATGGAAAATATTTTGAGAATTTACTCAATTTTTATTGCCTTGTGACGGTAATCATATTTACATTTTTATTTACTTTACTAGATTTTGTGAAGGAGCAACATAAGTATATAATTGTGAAATTGGAGGACAGATGTATTTAATATTCTGAAAATCAGTTTTATCAAGTTATACTCTTGATAACTTGATAAAGTTTACAAATGAATTTTATTTGTAAAATCTTTAAAAACTATTTCCTTTAGCTTCACAATTCTGCACTTTGCATTAGTCTGACAATATATTTTATACATTCGGTTGTGGAATTGATGTGAGAATGTGTAAATATTTGAGGGATGTGAATACTTCTTCAGATTTGTAATTGATGTTCTGGTATGCCATGGAAACATTCATATTTTGATGGTCTGAAATATCTTGTATAGCCTTCACTCTGTGTCTTGCAGTGGCATCATATATAAATCATTTCTAAATGTTACCTTTTCGGATGGTGGAAGTCAGACCAAACAAAAGGGAGCATGAATCCCATTCCTGACATTCTCTCCGACAGCTTATCCTTGCCTGTTTTGATTTGATCTTGCTTCTGTTTCTGTGACCTCTGGCGGGGGAAGCCAGCACAGACAAAACATCGTGAACAAAGATGGAAACTAATGGCAGACACACAAGTGTGCTTCTGTCTCCCTGCCTGCCTGAGTCGGTTTAACGCTGGCAATAGTCTGTGGAGAAGAGCCATAGTCATGTGACTCGTTTAGACTTGGCTGGATGGACGGCTTGACAGATGGGGTGTGAAAGCAGATGCAAGACTAGATGGATTGCTTTTGTTTTTTAATTTATTTCTCTATAAATCTTGGCCAATTTTTCCCTCAAATTACTTTTTTTTTTTTTTTTTAAATGCTGTTTTAATTTTGTTACATTTTGGTGCCCCTTCTTAAAAGTGTGAAGGGGTGCGTGTGTGTCCCCTGGTTGAAAAGGGGTGCTGGTTTTAATATTTTTATCTTTATTATTATATTTTTAATATTTCTCTTTTTTCACTGTTCAGTGTTACACGACTCTGGTTCTGTTTTTAATTATGTAAAGCACTTTGAAATGCCTTGCTGCTGAAATGTGCTATACAAATAAAATTTGATTGATTTGAAATGCAGGGTTTTGTTCACACATTATGTTGACTTGTAAACATGTTAAATCACCAGTGGGAGCATGTTGTGAACTGGGCATGTAATAAATCTAGTTTATGGTGGTGTGCAACAGAAAATGTGGAACTCTGGCCTTAAAATGCAATTGAAAGATGACCAGATTTTTGCCCTCTGCAGGTGTAACTCACTTTAGGACCCTGAGAATAACTAATAGTTTTTGTTCTTTCCTACCCTGTGCTTTTCCGTAATGGTGCCAAAAGCCCTCAGCTGAATGTTGAGATCAAGAAAAATGAGCTAAAATATAAGAAGTGGCTTTTTGCTAGTCTTCTATCTCACTTTCTTCCTGCGTCTTTGATCACAGCCCCACATTGCTGCTGCAGACCTCTCAGTCATGGGTGTTCTATTATTGATGTGCTCACTCCTAAGTGCCACTTATGTGATTCATGACCTGTGGGTGTCGCAGAATTACATTTTAGCCTGATCCTCAGCTGACCCCGACATCCCTAGCTCACTGTGGAAGGACCCGGTAATTCGCTCTTTGCAGAAAATCTGTGGATCAACTTCAAACTACTTCTATCCTGTCTGCACCCATCCTCCCACCGGTGTGTTGAGTTTATTCTAAACATTGAAAGTATGGAACTTTTTTTTTTTCCCCCTCATGGATGGGAGTTTTTTGCCCTTTGGTTATAATAGCAAAAAGTGTGAAATAAACTTCAAACTTTCCTAAAATAAGGTGTTTCTTGAAAAATAATTCTGTCTAAAAAGTCTTCTGCACTGAAGTGAAGAGGCTGTCAAGCAGTCTGCAGTATCTTTGAGCTCTGCAGGTGGTCCTTAGTTGAATCTCTGTTTGCCTGATGCAGGAAGCAGATGAAAGTGCTTGTTTAATCAGGTTCTGTTGCTCTTAGTCAACGGCTCAGCAGAAAGGGCTGACGTGTGAAATATTTCAGTGACTTCTTCCTACCCAGTGGATCCTAAATAACCAAAAATGACAAGCGTCTCCTCTCAGAAATATTCATGTCTTAAGGTTTTTGCTAGTTTGATGAATAAACACCAGCTAAAAGGCATCTTTTGAGTTTGTGATGAAGGAACTCACTGGTGAGTTGCTGACATGAAAGGAAAACGATGCAGAACCGTTATTGAAGGATCAGTTATGAAAATTTAAGTAACAATACAGTTTTGTCTTCCTAATTTTTTTTACTTATTGGAGTATGCATTTATATTAAACCTCACTTATTCTAAGCAGCTGGGAATACAGAAGAAAGCCATCAGAAACCCAACTTGCTTGCAATTTACAACAAATCTGAAAGGTCATGTAGCATGTACCTCAAATTTTATAATTTAACCTACATGCAACAGATTTGGGTATAGAAATAAGTCGACATCCTTTAGAACTCATCATTCCACTTGGGCCAGCTTCTCTATCCCTGCTGAAGAAGAGTTGAAAGGGAATATGGAGTCAAATACAGATCCATCCTGAGGAGAAAAAAAGCTGATGGACTGCAGATTTGAGACTAAGATGGAGGTTCACCTCCAAACAGCACAACAACCCTAGGAGTACAACCAGAGCAACAAGTGAATAATGAATAATTTGACTGAATTATGTTCGAATGGTACAGTCAAAGTCCAGGCCTGAAACTAATTGAGAATCTGTGGCTTCATTCCAATCTGATGCAGCTTGAGCCATTAACAGAACAGTCTTTTTTTTTTTTTTTTCCTTTTTTTTCCCCCCCATTTCACTCTGAGAATCTTTTGGAGTCGAACATTACAACTTACAGATGTAATTGCAGTGGAAGATGACTCTACAAAGCATTGCCTCAAGGGGCTGAAAACAAACGCATTCCAAACTTTCCAGATTGTTATGAGAGCAATATTTAAAGTCAGTGTATCATTTCCTACACCCGACTATTATATATAAAAAAAAAAAAAATGCCAGTGAAATGCATTGAAGTTTGTGGTTGTAACATATCAAAGTTGAGGGGTATGAATACTTTTCTAAGGCATTACAAATGTATGATTTGACAAGGACCACCTTTTGAGTTTTGTATAAAACCGGGTATTGCATTGGAACAGGTAGCCATAAGGTCACTAATAGAGTTGCAGTAAAAAAAAAAAAAAAAAAAAAAAAACTTCCTGAAAAGGGGCCCTGTGTTTCATATTTCTCTTTTTTTTTTTTATAAATCTGCTGGAGAAGCCACGGGGGGGGAAACAGCCTAGAGGAGAGAGG